CTGGCTCTGTGGACCCACAGCGCCCTCAAGCGGCCCGTTCTGCAGTAGCTCTGTTGACACTGCCCAAGCTGGCCCAGGACCCCTAAAAGAGGGCTCAGGACACAGGACAGCTCCTGCTGATTCAATGTCTACCTGTCTCAAGGCATGAACACGTGGAGGCATGGCACATTTTCCAAAAACGGAAGACAATGTCTAAATCTCATCAGAGTTCTAGGAAAGAGGAATCCAGCCAGTCACTAGATGAAGCTCTCCTGGGAAGGGGAGGGGCCTTGGGTGTAAGCTGATTCCTGGGGAGGGCAGATGGTGGGGTTCAATCAGCCGAAAAAGTTTCTAAGCAGCTGGATGCAAACTCATGGGTCCCATGAAGTAGGAACTGCCTAGATATCTCCATTTTTTAAACACCCCGGTCAGTTCTGTAGCTCTACTTTTAAATTGAATTTCTTGTCTTTTTATTACTGATTTGCAGGAAGTGTGTCTGGTTTGGATACACACACTTTCTCAGATATCTGTGTCTATATCTACGTAGATATAAGTGTTTATATGTCCCTAATATCTTTTGACGGACTGAATTTTTAATGTTTTGGCAAGGAAAAATTTACTTTTTAAAGATTAGAACATTCTTTTTGAAAAAAAATCTTTGCTTACTCCAAGGACACGATGAGATATTTGCTATAGTTTCCCCTTCCCCCCCTAGAACCCCCCAGATGCTTTGGAGTTCAGAAGCTTTATGATCATGGAGAATGTTCATCCATCTCATATCCGTTTTTGCTTAGCAAACCTTTTCTGTAGAAGTCCGATAGTGAACATTCTCGGTTTTCTGGCGCAGCCACTCGGCTCCACCGTGGCAAAGCCCGAACAGCCGGGCACTGCGTACGCAAGTGGGCGCAGCTGTGTTCCCATGAACCTCGGCGCATGGACAGCGAAATCTGAACTCTGTATAATTTTTGGAGGTTACAGAATATTATTCTTTGTTTCTTTTCAACCACTTAGAAAGATGAACAGCACTGTGAGCTCCTGAGTCATGTGAGCACAGGCAGAGGCCAGACTGGTCCTCGTGCCCCACGTCTGGGGAGTGGAGGGACAGCAGAACTGAGCTGCATTATTCTGCACGTGCATCTCCAGCTTCTTCACCGCCGTCTGCTGAAAACACCATTTTCCTCCTTTCCTGTTCCCTATAGTAGTTGATTCAGGAATTGCAATATGCATCTGTAACATCCCACGGCCTACCTGCGAAAAGGTTTATTAGCCATAGATTTTTTATAAATTGCCTTGGTTAGGGGAAGGAAGTTTCCAATAACTCCTGATGTGCAATTTTGTTAAAGTCAGAAATAGGTATTGTATTGTATCAAATGTGTTTGAGCATCTGTAGAGATGATCATATAATTTTCTTTTTTTATTATTTGAGACAATAAATTACAGTGACGGTTTTTTGAATGTTAGCCCAACTGCCCATCATTGAGATAACTCCCACTTAGTCACAATGTATTATCATTTTTAGATGCTGTTATATCTGACATTCTGGAACTTTGAAAGGATTGTTAATCGTGTTCATGAGGAATATTGCTCTAGGGGTTTGGTGTATTCTGTAATTTGTTTTTTTGTTTGTTTGTTTTTCTGCTAAAATCTTTGTTTGTTTGGGATTCTTGTAATGCTGGCCTCGGGATGAGGAAGGAATTCGTCCCTATTTCTCAGTTTTCGCCCTGAGTGTCCCTTAGTGTCGTCCCACCAATGCTGATATCTTTTCGTTTTCATTCAGCTAAAAGCCCCTTATGATTTCCCTTTCGATTTGTTCTTTGCCCCATAGGTCACTCAGGAGATGGTTGCTCATCCACGCATTTGGGATTTTCCCAGAGCTCCTTGTGTTACTGATTTCTAATTTAGTTCCTCCGTGGTGAGAGAACATGCTTTGTATGACTTGAATTTCTTTTAAATGTACTGATGTTTATTTTATGCCCAGAGTCGACCGTCTTCCCTGGTACACGGTCAGAGTTCGCTGGCAAAGAGCACGCAGTGTCCTGCTGCTGAGCGACGTATTCCACACATATGTCAGTTCATCACCTTGGTTGACAGGTTGCTCAAGTCTTCAATATCTTCACTGTTTTTTTTTTTTTCGCCTTGTGCAGTCAGTTGTTGAGAGAGAGGTGCTGAGATGCCTGACGACAGCTGCGCGTTTGTCTGTTTCTCCTTGCAGTTCTCCCTGTTTTTGCTTCAGTTTTGAATTTCTTTTCGATGTACAAATATTTTCTTGTTCTCTCTTCTCCAGGGATTGTCCCTCTTATCATTAGCATGTGACCTTCTTCATCCCGGACGATATTCTTGGCTCCGAAATTTACTTCCTCTGAGAATATCTAGCTCTCTTTTGATTAGTGTGAGCATGGTACATTTTTTCCGTCTTTTTTTTTTTGGTGTTCTCAGTCTTTGTGGTGCATTTCTGGGAGGCAGCATACAGTTGTGTTTTTCTTTTTTATGCAATGTCACAATCTATGCTTTTTCACCGCGCTTTTGGACGCCTGAGATTTGAGATGACTCTTGGTCTGGCTGCTCATTGTCCGTCGTCTTGTTCTTTGTTCTCTGAGTCCATCTCTGCTTTCTCCACTTTTCCTTCTTTTCGTGTCTTCTTCCGTAGGAGTAAACATTCTCAGACTCATTCCGTTTTCTCTCTTTCGTGGGAGGGCGCGATGCTAATCCCTTTCTCCATCCCCTGTCTCGCCGTCGTTGTCACGTCTGTTGCTTTCGCGTGCACTGGTCCCCCCTGCTCTGCAGTTTCGCTTGCTGCAGGGTCAGTTACGTGAGGTCAACCGCAGTCCAAAAATATTAAACGAGAACCTCCAGAAATGAACAGAT